GGGACGGTTCCGTGTGGCCAGGAGCACCTGAGGATCTGCCCCCCAGGCCTGGATCTGGACACTTCCCATGTCAGAGATCCTCCAGCAACCCTTCTCTGCAGACTGCCCATGCCCACACACCTCCCGGGACCCAGGGCTGCTCGCCATTGCAAAAAGTGAAAAGGAGGAAAGTAAAGATGGAAACAAACAGGAGGCACCCCAGAAATTGGTGAGCCCAGAGTGGAGGGCTCCTGATGCCCTCAACAAGGCCAGTACCCTGCTGGAGCTCTCTCAGCCCCCCAGGGCTGCCTCTGTGACCCCAGCCACAACTGTAATTAATTATCCATAATCATTTAACACCTCTGTCCCGGAGGGCGGGGATCTGTGTGTCTTTACACTGTATCCCCAGTGCCTTCATCCATAGGCATACAATAAATATTCGTTGGATGAATGAATAGATGACATTGTCCTCCCCTCCCGGACACCAGAGAGCCCCTGCAAGGACTAAAGCTTTGCAGGGGGCTCTGAGGCTAAGTCTGGGCCTCCCTCCTGATTCTCCAGGGACTCGGCTCCTAAGTGACCACCACCCGGCAGAGTGGCCCCAGGATATCTGCACCTCTGTGATCATCTGGGAGACTCGGGGCCCCAGAGACCTGCCCACTCTGCTCAAATGCAGCTTGGCCCTTGGAGAACTCCTAAGAAGCCCCATCTCCTTCCCAAAGATCTCAGCTCTGCCTCATGTCTTCCCATCCCCAGGATCTCACCCCTGTCCCTCCTCCAAGGTTCCCTTGATCCCAAGTCAAATCTGATGTCATCTCCTGTGTCCTTTCTTCTTTCACACACTCTCCCTGCCCTCAGGGCCTGCACCCTCACAGCCAGACGCTTGCCCAGCTCATCTCCAGCTATGTGCTCTGCTGTGCTGTTCTCCCCTCCTGGAACAGCCCTTCGCTCTGCTCTCAGCCTCTCAGAAGCCTGCCCAGCCTCACCAGCCAGCTCCTCCAGGCAGCCCTCCCAATGGCTCTCAGTCCTGGAAACTCTGGTCCCGGCCATAGTCAGCATCACTCTAGAGAATACGTCTGCCCACGTCGACCATCAGGACCTGAGGGAAGTGACCGTTCCGGACACCTCTCCTTTTGGATTCCCCTAACCCAGAATTAGCCCACAGCAGACTGAATAAGTGACTGAGTGTTAGATTTATATGAGGAACTTGCACAGAAACTGAAGGGTTTCCCTGCTGGCTCAAGACATCCAATGCTGGAGAGCTACAAAGGCTTCTGGAGGCTTTTATATAAACTCTGAAAAACATATGACTAGCTGTGGGAACTCCAATTTTAAGTTCAAGAAAACTTGAATTCTAATAAGGAGAAGCAGGGTGCTATGGGCTGAACTGTGTCCCATCAAAATTCTTATGTTGGAGCCCTAATCCCAGTGTGACTGTACTTGGAGACAGGGTGTTTAGGAGATAATTAGGTTAAATGAGGTCATAAGGGTGGGGCCCTGATCTGATAGGACTGGTGTCTGTATAAGAAGTGGCAGAGACGCCAGCGCTCTCTCTCCACCACGTGAGGACACAGCGAGAAGGCGGCCGTCTGCAAGGCAGGAGGAGAGCTCTCACCAGACACCGAATTGGCCAGCACTCTGACCTTGGACTTCCCGGCCTCCAGGACTCTGAGAAATCAGTTTCTGTTGTTGAAGACCCCCAGTCTGCGGTACTCTGTCATGGCAGCCTGAGCTGACTAATACATGGACGTCACTAAACCTCTCCTGAGATATATGGGGGGTCAGTTCCATTGTTTATAACACACAGGCAGCCTGAACAGCTGGGACCTTTAAGTGGATTAATAATAATAGTGACAGTAATTACAACAGTATCCTTTACTGAGTGTTTGCAATGGACCCAACGCTCTCCTCAGGGCTCCCCCTGCATCAGCTCATTTACTCCTCGCGCCCCCCCAATGACGACATAAGCTTTGCCATTTACAGAGGAAAACGGAGGCCCAGAGAGGTTAAGTGACTTGAACAAGGTCACTGTGCTGTGGCCGGGCTGAGCCCACAACCCAAGGCCACCTGTATGAGAACAGCACTTATTGGCAAGCCCAGGAGGACCGCCAGCCCCTCACCATGCAGGGTGGCCAAGTGACCTCTTGCCCTGGCCCAGTTGCAGTCTAGGACCCTCTTTCATTCCTAGGACCCTCTAGCACCCTCTCTAATCCTTCGCCCTCTGCTTAGACTACCCTGAAGAGATTGATTCTCTTAGTGTATGGTCCCACCCCTATGGTGCCTTGTCCCCAACGCCATCATCTCCTAATGACAGCCACCGCCTCCTAACTTGTCTCCTGCTTTCACTCTATGTCCCGCTGCACTCCACTCCCCAGAGAGCAGCTAGGCTCATCTCTTAAAAACACAGATCAGATCATGTCACATTCCTGCTTAAAATGCTCCACTGGCATCCCATTAAACTTAGAATCAAATCTCAACTCCTGATGTTGACTTAGGAAGCTCTATGTGATCAGCTGTGCCCACCTCTGCTCCCTCTGCCCCAGAGGCCTCCATTAGTTCCTTGAACGTGCCCAACTGGCTTCTGTCTCAGGGTCTTCATGGTTGCTGTTCCTTCTGCCTAGAACACTTCCACCCAGATCTTCCCAGGGCTGGCTCCTGCTTGTGTTCAGGTCTGAGCTCAGAGAGGCCCTCCCAGTCCTACTCCATTGCATGGCCCTGTTTTAATTCGCTACAGACCCCTCGGTTTACTTCACATTATTTTCTGTTTGTTTATTTGTTTGTTGTGTGTCTTCTCCCACCCCTGGAAAATAGCCTCCGTGAGGGCGAGGACTTCATCTTGTTCACAGTATCACCAGCACCTAGCACAGGGCTGCACACAGCGGGCCCTCTACTATTTGCAGAATGAGTGAATGAATGAATGACACAATCTTCTCAAGGATGGATGAAGAAAACCCCAAAATGCCCATCACTCAGCTGTGGCCCCAACAAGCACCGCTCCCACTTTTACCCAGGAACAAGTCCTCTCAGAAGCTCAAAGCGCTGCTCACTTCGCCACCTAAGCCAGGACCAAGGCCTCAGCCTGCAGCAAAATAAGAATAATTTCTAATGGAAATGTCCTCCAGCCCAGTGCTGCCGGGTACCACAGGTGAGGGGTGGCGAGAGTGTCTGTAAGAGCATTGCCCCCACCCCCACATCCAGCTGAGGTCCTCCCCTGGGACTGCCACTGTTGCCTAGGAAATGGCTCTCCAAGGAGCAGCTGGCATTAACCCTTCAGCAGTCAGGGGCAGCAGCCTGCCTCTGTGACAGAGGCCCCAGACTTTTCCAATGAAAGGAGATACAGCTCTGCCCCCTCTTCATGGTCCTGCAAACCAGGACGCTTACAGCAGTTGTGGGGCGGAAGGGCAGGAGGAGGAAATAGGCTGCTGGGCCCCATTCTCCCATGTGGAAGTCACAAAATATAACCCCATCTGGCCAGGTGTTGGGAGCGAGCCATTCCCAAGTCCCTGTGCCCGCTACCTCTGGGGCCTGTGGAGGGCTTAAGGAGGAGCCAACACACAGGTGCCCACCCCCTCCCTGACACCCAGGCCCCCTGCCACACCTGCACTGTTCTTGGGAACCTTCACCAGTTAATCCACGTTCCTCAACCCAGTTCATCACATGTCACAAAGCGGGGGAAAAAGTGACCTGAGCTGAAATCCTGCCTCTCTCACTTAGTTAGGTATATTAATCTTTTCACACCTTGGTTCTCTCATCCAGCTTCTGAATGCCACTGAAAATGCCCTTGTCGAGACTGCCAATGGCCTCCATGTTCCCAAGTCCATGTTCACTTCTTTGACTTCTCTATATTTTACAGTCCTCTCAATTATTAATACCCCACCCCACCCCCAGTTTTCCATCCTCTGTTATTTCTTCCCAGAATTTATTACTTCCTGAAATCTTCTTATCTATTTGATCATTACTTGGTCAAAATACTTTGACCACTACTTTGGTTCCCTCACCCAATAAGAGAGAAGGTTCTTTCTTGTCTTATTCACCACAATAACTCCAGGCTTAAAACAGTGACTGGTACATGGAAGTTACTTGAGGATCAGTTCCAGTAAAACTAGAGTGAAAAACATAAAAAGAAAAAGACAAGGTATCTTGGGAACAGTGTGTCTAAACTAGCAGGGCAGTAAAGGGAAGTCCCATGATGACAGCCATGTAGCAACTAGTCTAAGCTGGCGCAGGAATAAGAATCTAGAAGGGTTTCCGGCAGAAAAAAAAAAGTAGGTTCCATGCAATAGAGAGTAAAATTGAGATGCTAAATAATCTTGAGGATTGGAAGGCACATTATTCTTTGGCCAATAAGAAAAAGAAAGGCAATTAGAAACTACAGTAAAAACAAAAAGTTATTTCAAAAAGTATTGGACTCAATAAGAAATAATTTAATATGTGGCACAATTTAGGACAATCAGTAGAGTATAAGAAAAGAAGAAAAGCCATTTGACCTTGCTGCAAAGATCATTCTCATTTGAGAGGTCAAGGATCAAGAAAGGAGACCAACAGAACAGGAAGTATAATCCTAACATACTATTTGGCCCTGAGGAGAACTGTATTTACTTAATAACAACTAATAACATTTATTGAGTACTTAATGAGCCAGACAAGGTTTTAAGAGCTTTGCATATAATATTGAATCCCCACAACTCTCTAAGGTACATAACATCATTATCCCTATTTCATAGATGAGGAAGATGAGGCATGACATATTAACAAGTTTTCTGAGGTCATATGGCTAGTGGAAGAGTTGAATCCACATCTGGGCCTGTGAGACCCAGAGGTCCACCACACAGAGATGGCCCTAGAAGCCAGGCCATTTGATCTTCAGGCCCCAATCCTGCTTGCCAAGAAGCATAGGATGCCAGTGCACACACATGCATGCACACACACACTCCTGGGAACCAGTATGCAAAGGTGCAGAGCAGCAGCAGAGCTGGTCCAGGCTGGGTAGCCAGAGTGGCAGGGCCAGAGCAGGGTCTTACCTTCCTACAGTCTTTGCAGAACACCGACGAGCTGCCCAGGAAGCCCAGCACCTCCCCACAGAGCAGACACTGGGAGAGGCCGTTCCCCATCACGTTCCGCCTCATGGTCTCCAGCCGCTCCACCAGCCGCCTGCAGCACAGGATTCAGTCAGATGGAATGTGCTTTCTGTCTCCAACCCGACCACTGCCCAGACACAGCTGCTACAGGGCCCTGACACTATACCATGCCCCACGTGCCGTTCCCTCACCTGGGGTACTGTTCCCTGCCTCACCCCTTCCTCTGGCTAACTCCTAATCATTCGTTCACTCACCAACTATTAACTGAGCACCTACGAAGTGCCAGACACTGGGAATATTGTAGCAAACAAGCCAGAGACAGACACGGTCCCTGCCCTCACGCAACTTACGTTCAATAAAGGGAGAAAGTCCAGAAACAAATAAATAAACTGACTTCATGAGGAAGTGCTATGAAGTAAAATAAATCGGGGGGAGAAAGACTGAGGGGGACAGGTGCATGTTGATGGTGATCGGTGAAGGCTTCTCTGAGAACATTTGAGCTGAGAGCTAAAGGCTGACAAGGACCATACCACGTGAAGAGCTGGAGGAAGCATTCCAGGCAGAGGGGACAGCAAGTGCAAAGGCCCGGGGGTGAGAAAGGGTTTGCACACCAGAACGGTAGGGAGGCCAGTGTGGCTACTGCCTCGTGAGCGAGCAGGAGCCTGGTATAAAAGGAGGCTGGAGGGGCGAGGAGGGGCCAGATTACATGGGTTTTGCAGGTCACAAAATGGAGTTCGGATTATTTTCTAAGATCAACGTGAAGTCACTGAAGAGCTTTAAGTAGAGGAGTGATTTGATCCGAATGACATTTTTAAAAGCTCACTCCACTGCTGTAGGAAAAGCGGGGATTGCAGAGGGAGTGCAGGTGAGGAAGCCAGCAGGAGGTGGGGGGCGGTCCAGGGAAGGGGGATGGAGCCTGGGAGGGGCCATATTTCAGAGGCAGCATTGGTGGATTTGGGGTGAGGCGGGTAAGAGAGGGATCCAGGGTGACATGGAGGCTTTTGGTTTGAGCAACTGGGTGGACAGGGAAGCTGGAGGAAGAAAGAGAAGGAGCTCCTCTTTGAACCTTTAGACGCTGAGGTCCAGGTGCACTCCCTAAACCCCGCTAAGCCTGGGATACGTGCCTGCCTTGGGGTCCCACGGCCCCTCAGCCCACTGTGATCCCATTTCACCTGTAAGGCCACACTACAACCTCCACAAAACTGGCAGACTCTTCTGTTTTGTTGGCCGCTGTATCCTCAGTGCCCAGTGGACTCTCAGTGAACATTCTTGAATGAATGCAGGATGGTGTGTGGGTACATTATCTCCTCTAACTCTCACAACCCCCCAGTGAGGAGGATGCTATTTCCCCCCAATTTAAAGATGAGAAGACTGAGGCTCAGAGATGTGAAGTCACTTGCTAGGGTCACACAGCTCCTACAAGGTGGAGCCCTGGCCACACCCAGGTCCCTCTCTGATGGCAACCCCACACTCTCCCCTGAGGTGATCAGGCTCTGCCTGGGGGCTGAGGGAGAGCAGACTGGGCTGAGGCTGCCTCTACCCACGTGCCCTCCAGCAAGCACTCCTGACTTCCACAGGGGTCACGTCCCTCACCCAGGGACCTGTAGGGCCCCAGGAGCAAACCTAGCTTTGGCTCTGGCCTGACTCACTTGTCTCGGGGACCCCCTGTCAGTACAACCCTTGCCTCCTAACTCATGGAAACACACAGGATGCACTTCCTCCTTCTGAGATGATTAACCTGAGGCACTGCCTTCTGGGTCATTCCATGCCCCTGCAAACCCAGTGCTCACAGGAGGGCCAGACAACGTGAGCAGCACAGGGAAGGCCAAGAGGGCAGCCCAGAGGAATGAGGGGGTGTGGGGGAGCCCAGGTGAAACCGACCCACCGGCTCCCAGCATGCCCTCCTGGGGGAGCCCGAGGGATGCAGCGCTGGCATGTCAATCATCAGCAGGAGCGCATTCAGGTCTGCAGAGGGCCCTGCAGGGCCCTGCCTGAGTCTGTAAGAGGGTGGGGCCACAGCCAGGTCAGATGGGGGGAAAAAAGCAAACGACAACTGGTCTGATATAAACCCTTTTTGTAATAAAATGATACTAATATGTCAGCATTATTGAGGCACATACAGCAAGCTGTTTGGACATTAGTGGTCTTTGTAGTGATGCTTTCACTTTCTAGAACTGTGCATGTCTGCAATGTCTGACTTTTTCAAATGATCATATATTTAATAGAAAAAGATAAATAGAAAAAGAACAAGCAGACCAGAATCAAATTAATTCCTGCCCGATGCAACGCAGGGGATGTGCGTTTTCCTACTTGTGCTCTGCTGTGTTTTTCACCTTGTCTAGGAAGTATGAATTGCTTTTGTAATTAAACAAACAAAAAAAAGACACAACGAAGCTGTCTGAAGACTGTGTAGTAGTCAGCTCTGGATGCTGGAGGCCAGGAGAAGAGCTCAAAATGAGCTGAGAGCGTCTCCTGTTGGAGTCTTTGATGGGACCACCCACTGCTCAGCCTTGACTTAAATCTCTCCCTGGCTGAACCACACGACCCTTCTGCGTGCAAAGCTCAACAGCCCCTAACGCGTTTCGCCACACTCATTCCTCCTCCCACAGCCTGGGGTCCACACACCGGCTGCGACCCACACCTCACAGAGGGGTATGGTGAGGCTTCAAGGGGCTGGGTTCTGCGTCTACACTCCAGGGATGTTCAGGCAGAGCTGAGCAGCTCCCAGGGGTGAGAGGCCGGCCTCCCAGCCCCCTGATCTGGCGCTAAGCGCCCTTGCTCTCCCCTCCCTCATCTTGTTCCTGCCCTAGCTCGGGAGCAGCCCTTACCCGATTCTCTGCTGCTCCAGGACATCGAGCCGCTCTGCCCTCTGGATGACCTGCAGGATGGCCTCCACCTCAGCCGGGCTGAGGCACTGGCTCTTCCTCTGCTTCTCCGTCTGGTAGGTGTGCACGGACCAGCCCGTCTGCAGCCTCAAGAGAGATCACAGATGGCTCTGAGGGCACCCCAGTGCAAACTCCTGCACCCCCGCCCCATCCACAAAGCCCCCCTGAGAACAGTGTGGGGACAGCCCAGCTGCTGTGTGTCGGGGGCGAGGGGTTCAGGGAACAGGGCAGATGCCAGGCTCCAAAGGCCGGCTCTGCCACCCGCCAGCTACCGGGCTCCGCAAAGACGCGGCACCACCTTAGCACCTTGGGAGGCAGAAGCGCGGAATGTGACCACTGTACAAACAGAGAAGGCCTCGGCCACAGCGTGTGAGGTTTCTCGAGAGAAGCATGGAGATTATCAAGAGAAGAATGAAAACCTAGATCTGAGTCATATAAGAAAGTGAGAAGGAGTTTACTGTGGGATAGGAAAGAATGGTAATCAGGTTAAAATTGAACCTTGAGGATAAAAGAGATTCACAAAGCATTTTGAAAACTAGAAGGTTCCAGGCCAGGAGGGCACTAGAGCTGCACGAAAGGATGGGTGGTGAGGGCAGGCAGGATGGTCCAGTGGGGCTGGGGGGCTCAGCCATCTCTATTCCACTGGGCTGCGGGTGGGACACCTCCTGAGGCTGCGATCAGGGCGGAGGGGAAGAATGCAAACCCTTTCTGTTTTTCTGGAGCGGGAGAGAGTGACAGCAGCAGACCAAGACCCACACTCCCTGCCCTGGGTCCCGACTTCTCCAAGACATTGTGTCAAGTGCTGGGAACACCGCGATGAAGAAGATGGCAAAGTCTTGCCTTGGAGAACTACAATATGCTGGGGGGACAGATGCCCAATCCATCACACTAATATGTATTGAATGAAAAATTATAAGAGCTATTCATTCAACGCATATTCATTGAGCACCTACTGTGATGGCAGGCTCGTTAGGTGCGGGGGACACGCTGCTGGGTGGGACATGCGGGTGAGCATTAGGAGGATGTATAAATAAGGAGAGCTAACCTAGTCTGGGGGTGCGGTTCTAGAAGGGCTTCCCTAAAGAAGCAACAAGAGTCTTTGATGCAGGACACAGGGTAGGAGGATGGGGATGTGGACGCCTTCCTGGTGGTTCCCTGACACACCATGGACACTGGTGGTCTCACGTCACTGCCCCGTCCAGCTATGGCAGCCAACAGTTCTTGCCCGGCCGACACTGCAAGTCAGGAGAGCTAAAAAGCACATGCTTTCTCTTTAAGGACAGCGGCCTGGTCGAGGCGAAGGACTCAGACTCTGGGGTCTACTGGACAGTCTTATCTATTGGCTCCATCCCTTCCCAGGTGTGAACTAGGGCAGCTGCTCATCCTTGATTTCCTGAGCTGTCTCTTTAAGGGATGCCATGAGGATTAAACGAGGCTCACATATAAAGTGCTTGGCATACAGAAGTGCCCAATTGCTTAATAAGTGGTAGTTAATGGTGACACCATAATTATCAGGGGTGGAACCATCAGGAATGGCTTGACCATAGGAGCGTCTGTGCAGGGTTTTGCAGGATGAATAGGTGCTTCCCAATGGAAGGAGCGAGGCGGCGTTCAGGCAGAGGAAACCGCACGTGCAAAGGTATGAAGGCATAAAGTAATACACTGTATTTGGGGGGCCAGACTTCTAGACGGCTTATTTCTCCAATTAAAAAAAAAGAGCATTGCCCTAGACCAACACTTTTTCAAGGGATCCTCACAGAGCTGAGGAAAGCAAAGGATGGGAAAGGGGCAGGGCTGGAAGAGAGAGGAAGGGAGGCCAGGCCTCAGAGGGGGCAGAGCCCACTTTCCTTCTGCGTGCTGGGCAGACCCGGGGGCGTTAGGCCCTGAGGAGGGACACTCCCCACCCCCACCTGCTGGTTTTCACTGTGTGAGCATTTCAGGACTCAGGCGGTCAGTGATGGGTCAGATCACCCTCTGTGTGTGCCCCGGGGCCAGTGGAGGGGATCTGGAAAACAGGACTCCCAAGTGCAGGGGCACCCTCCGTGGGAAAAAGGAAGGCCGAGGAGCAGAGGTGGGAGGGCACAGCACGAGCACCGCCACCCGTCCCAGCGGGCGCAGCTCCTACCCAGCTCGCTCAGGGCCCGGCCCCAGCCCAGGGCGCTGGAGACCCCCTCCCACTGGACCTCCGTCTTCCCGCAGGGCAGCCTCCCCATTTCTCAGAGGAGGAAGAGGTGGGCAAAGGGGATGGCTTTCCAAAGGCAAATCAGGGGGCGGTAGCCTCCTGGCCTGGGGAGCCCACATCCAGCAGCTGCCCACAGCCCTGCCAGGCTCCCTCAGGGCATCCTCCGAGCCTCCTCTTCTGCCTCCATCTGATCACCCACCAGCGCTGACGACTGACACCTTTTCATTCGACCTCCTCCTCCCGGTCACCACCCTTGTCTGCTCAGGCCCTGACTCCTACGCACAGCCACGGCTGACACTGAGCATCTTGTTCCCCCGCAATGCCCCCCCACACAGCCAAAGGAGCCCCACCCAAAGCTGCTAGATGTAGACGGGGCTGCACCCCCAGGAAGACCCTTCAGTGGTGCCCAGCACCCACCTGTACATTCCCCCTACGGCGCCCGCCTCTCTCAGCTCACCTGGCCTCACATGGTGTGCGTCACCAACAACTGTCCTAGTTCCCTTGTGCCTCCAGGCTTTTGCTCAGGCTGCGCCCTCCACCTGTCCTCTCCCTAAACCCCCTTCCACCCGGCTCACTCCTAGTCTTTTTTAAGACTTCTTTTAGACATGATCTTCACCAGGAGGCTTTTCCTTGATCCCCTCCAAGACAGGTTAAGAGTCCATTCTCAGAGTTCCCATGAGGCTGGGCATAGCTCTATCACTGGGCTTAAACATGATTACGAGGCAAGGTGGGACCTTCTGTCTCCCCTTCCAGAATGTGAGTCTCTGGAGGACTAGGCCCTGCCTCATCCAGCCCCTGCCCACCTCTCTATCTTCCTTTCACACCACTCCCCCCATCACTCTCTGCCTTCAAGCCACACTGGCCTCCTGACAGGCCCTCTACATGCCATGTTCCTTCTACCTCAGGGCCTTTGCACATGCTATTCCTTCTGCCTGGAAGCTCCTCCCCTACATTTCCATCTAACATTTACTCTTCCTCTAAGACTCAAGCTAAGCATCACACTCTCAGGGAAGCCTCTCCCAATCCTCCTCCATTAAGATAAAGTTGGCACCCCCTCTGCCCCACTGCCTGTTTCCACTGTCAAAGCTGCTGCACGTGGGTAATTATCTGTATAACCCTCACCTCTCTCCACCAGTGCCATAAGATGGGGGATCACATTGGTCTTGTTCACTGCCATGCAACCAGTGCCCGGCACATAGTAGGGGGTTAGAAAATGTTTGATGTTGGCTGGAGGACAGACCTGAGCTGGAGGCATGGAAGGTCATTTCCCCAGGTTTTCCCTTGGGCACAGCATCCGGCGGGGATTTGCAGGACTGTCCTTCACGGAGCCTGGCATTACCAGGAGCCTGGCATCACAGCCAGCACACCCCGGGGGAGGAGATAAAAGCATTGCTCTCCTAAAAGGTGCTACAACAGCTTCTGGCTGCTGCTGAGCACAAGACAAGGTCATGGAAAACTGAAGAGATCGCTGGGGGGATCACCAGGAGTCATACCAGGCCCTGGTACAAGAATACAGCTCTCCCCAGCTCCTCACGTTCTGCCAGGGGGACATGTCATCTCGCCTGGCATCAGAGGAGAGAGGAAGAGGGGCTGTTTCATCCCTGGTCTCCTCCCCCGCGGGGGCCGAAAGGAGCTGAGAGGCGAGACGGACAGATTGACTGTCCTGCCGATTCCTGTGAATCACACAGGATCCACTCTTCTTCAGCATTCTGGATTAACTTTTCTATCCCCCTTTGATGTTCCAGCTCTGTCCCCCTGTAGGCTCATAACATCTAATTACAGATTTCTTGAACTTGGTCCAATCTGGGAAACGCTGGCTCCCGTAATTCGCTGGGTATGACAGATGAAGGGGCCACTCTTGGGCGTACTGGACACCAGGGACCCCCAACTCCCCAGAGGGGCGGGGAGGACTGAGAGGCAGGAGCGGCCCTGGGAGCCCCTGGTCTCCAGCCACGGGGGGACGGTAGGTGGAGATGGCCTGACCTAACGGGAGCCGACAGGTTGCCAGGCAAAGGGATAACAGGAAAACCAGGATCCCAAGCGGACAGACCAGAACCAGAAAGACCCTGACACACTTGGAGGAGGCCTGGGATGCCCCGAGGCTGGCTGTGTGTCTCAGCCCAGGGGCAGCTCTTTGTTCATTTGACAGCCTTTGCCCTGTCCTGTCTGTGCGTGCCAGGCACTCAACTATGAAGTGGGCATCCAGATCAGAGGCTCCCCACCTCCAGGGGCCCAGGGACTGAAGGTTCAGTGACAGAGGGATTTGCACTCTTAACAGAGAAGGCAAAGGAAGCGGTCTGGCTCTCTGGAGCCTGCTGTGATACAGAGAACATAGGCATGGGAGTCAGATGGACCCAAGTGTGGGTCCCAACCCTGCCACTCACAATGTAAGTGACCTAGGCAAAGGGTCCACCCTCACTTTCCTCATCTGGGGATAAATTTCCCCATGGTGGTTAAATGAGTGAATGGCTGTGAAGTGGCCAGCTCAGGGCCTGGGGTATGGTGTGCATTAGACAGGCACTTGTGTCCAAACTTCTCTTTCTGGGTCCCAGGATCTGAATCTTGCCAAGGAAAGGACGGGAGCAGGGGCAGGGAGGGGAGGCCTGGCAGGGAGGGCCTGGAGGTACTCACTTGGCCCGCAGGGCGAGCTGCCGATCATTGGGGCAAACCCACTGGTCACTCCCACTGCCGAAGATGGTGTCAGCCATGGCCTGGAGCGCCCAGCCAGGGGAGGGAGTCACATCTGAGGTGAGAAGAGGGAAAAAGAAAGAGCACGTCATTGGTGGGGTGCAGATGGCAGACAGGGTCCCTTAGGCACCAAACATTGGCCCCTCCAACTGTCCCCAGTACATTGCTCCCCGCTGATGCCTAGAATCTCACCATCAGAATCACTCCTCCAGCTAAACTGTTCCCTCAAAGCTCCTCTTTCAAAAAGCTCATAATTCTAGGAGGATCACTAGGTGGATCACGTGACTAAGTAACAAGATTGGACATAACTGGTAGGAGATCAAAGGGTTAGAATCAGAAAGGAGAGAAGAGGCACACCTCAGCAATTTTCCACTTAGCAGGCAAGCCCCAGAGGGCATTTGACCCCTGCTCCTTCCAAGTGCAGCCCCTGCTGTACTTAGCACATCACCTAGCAGGAGGGGCTGGGCCAGGGGCAGACGGCTGACAGCGTGGGCAAACCCCACACTGCTCCCAACCCTGGGGGACCCGCAGTGGGGGCCCCAGGTACACGCGCACGGCTGAAGCGGGCCACCTTCCTCGGCTCTGCAAACAAGATCTTCACAGACTCTGCTCCCCAAGAGGTTCCGCCAAGGATTCCAGTGCTCTCCAGAGCAGGAAGGAGGGCAGAGAACGGCAGCCACGACTGCCACCATGCACAACTGCAGGGGGCGCCATCCACCAGGACCACAATGAAGATGGCACCCTCGGGAATTCTGCAGGCAGGCGACCCTGCTCCAGAATTTCCTACTAGTTTAACTTGTGCAGTCTAGCTCACCTGGCTTTCTCCTGGCCACCAAGGATATATGTTGGGAGAGAGAAAGGAGGGGAAGAGAGAGATGAATTTGAGGGTATCTCAGTCCCAGAACAAAGATGGACTGAGTTATCCACACTCCCTGGTCCAATCCCATCTAGACCAGAGGTTCTCAAATACAGGACACTCTTGAAATTATTGAGGTTGGAAATTAGTCTGGCAGTTCCTCAAATATTAAACAGAATTCCATATAGCCAGAAACTACTTCTAGTTATATATCCGAGAGAACTGAAAACACACGTCCACACACACAAAAACGTGTACATGAATGTTCACAGCAGCATTATTCACAATAGCCAAAAAGTGGAAACAATTCACATGTCCATCAACTGATGAATGGGTACAATGTGACATATCCCAACAATGGGATATTGTTGACCATAAAAGCGAATGAAGTACTGATACACACTACAACATAGATGAACCTTGAAAACATTATGTCAAGTGAAAGAAGCCAGACACAAAAGACTACGTATTGTATTCCATTACATGAAACGTCTAGAATAGGCAAATGCATAGAGACAGAAAGGAGACTGGTCGTGGTCAGGAACTGGGTGGTGGCAGGGGAAGGCAGGAATGAGGAGTGACTGCTAACGGGTTCAGGGTTTCTTTCTGGGGTGATGAAAATGTTCTGGAATTAGACAGTGGTGATGGCTGCACAACTTTGTGAATAAACTAAAACCACTGAATTGTACTCTTTAGAAGTGTGAATTTTATGGTATGTGCTCTACATCTCATTAAACCGTTATAAAAAAATTCTTGAGAACTCCAAATGATAGGAGCTATATCTATTGATATTTACCATATTAGAAATTAACACAGAGAAAGAATTTTAAAATTGCTAATTCATCAAATAATTAACCCACTAGATGTTCACATATTTTACAAAAAATAACTATATTTTCAAAACAAAAACGATTAGAATATGGCATTGTTTTACATTTTTACAAATCTATGTAACATTTGGCTTAACAAGACAGCTGGATGCTCATTGCTGATTTTTCATTCAATCTTTTGCCATATGTGGTTTTGTTCCAGTACGTGAAGGACACCCAGACTCACACAGATATGTACTAGTTGGGAAAGAGAGGAATATTTTAAATGCCTTTCCAGATAATTGTGGATATTCTTTCACACTGCACCAAAATGCAACAGACAGTAGATTCTTAAAGACTAGTTCCAATGTGGCATCTGAAACAATATCAGTGAACTTCTCATCTTCTATATATTTGTGAGAGAATGAGACCAAGTGTCTTAGCATTATTATGAAAATAGTTTTGACCTTGTGGACCCCCTGAAGGGTACTGCGGACCCCTAGACCATGGTTTGAGAATCACTGTTTCAGACCAATGTCACCCATTTCCATGATGACCAGCAGGGGGCAGCGTGCAGACTGCAGTTAACTGAACTGCACAGCGACCAAGCCCACGACATTGACAACAGTGGTCTCTTTATCCCACTCGGCACCACCAAGCCACCTCAGGAAAGAGCCCTGGGCACCCTCAGACCCCAGGAGCCATGTGTGGAGACCCCACGGCCAGGCCCAGCGCTGGGAGGGCTGCTGGGGTGCCACGGTCATCAAAGACCTCCTCACACTCCAAGTCTCGACCTTCTTCCAAACGAGGCTAACATATAATCCAGGAAAACACAGACGGGGTCAAAAACGGCATGCTTATCAAACACCTTTAAAGTGGTGTCCCACTTCCAGCCTTTCGTGCGCAATGGTTTGTTTTGTTTTGCTATTTAAAATTGCCGTTATCTTGTGAATAGCACAGTCACATGTGGTATGTGGTATGGGTGCGAAAAGCATTACTATGCTCTAAGTAAACGTTTACAACATACTACAGCTCAGTAGCCCTGTTTCTTTATCATTGTTTTTCAATATTCCGGGAGCTTCAAGAAATGGAAGTGATGGGCGTCTTCCTGACCGGGACAGGCTGTGCCTGGGTAAACTGGATGTCCCGGTGGTGGTGGCGGCCACCTGTCACGGCCTCACAGGCACCGCCGCTCCTGCCTCGGCCTGCAGGGGGCGCCAGGTCTCATGGCACTGCTCCCATGGGAAGGTTCTGCGCCTTCCTGCCCACCCTGCCGCAGCTGGGCACAATGAGGATGGAGTGGCCCCTCTCCTCTGCCAGGCACCACCCCCCAGAGGCAGGGGCGCACCAGTGGTGACCCCAGAGGGGAGGAGCAAGCCAGGGAACCTCAGGATGGGAATTCCATCTTCTGCAGAAGCTTCTGAACCAAAAGCTGTGGGGCTGGGTAGGGGGAGGAGGCGGAGAGAAGGAAGGGGTCCTGTGTGCTCTCATGCTCAAACCATCACCTCCTTTATGGAGGGACAAGTGGGGACATCCAGAAGACAGCAGCCAGCAGGTGGAGACGCACCCACTCCTCACAGCCCCAAATGAATCTCTAGGGAACGAACCGCTTTGATCCCCTTTGGGTCACTTCCTAGGGAGCCACAGTTTTGGGTTTACTGGCAAGGGAACCCCCAAAGTAACATTTATCTGTCCTCTGACCCATTTGAGGTCCACTCCTTTACTTTGTGTTTTTAACTTTAGTCAAAACAGCTCTGTGACCACCCACAGGCTATTCTGTTCTGTTCTTCCTAAGTCTAATCATTATTTTTTCTACTCAGCAAAAGAGAAAAGAGAGAGGTTAAGAGACTGAGGAAAGGTCACACACCTAACTATGCCGGTCTACTAACCCTTAACCAAGATTACTTCCTCTGCATCAGATCAGAGCCATAAGCACAGAGGGAAGGGTTTTGTGGCAGGGAGGAAGGTGACAAGAAGACTTAACTAGGAGAGAAAAGACCCGTGAAAATCGAGCTTTTATGCAAACTTACTAGAAAGCCAGAACAAGTCAGTTATCTTCCCTGGGCCTCAGTTTCCTTACCGGTACCCGAGGGAGCTGAGACAGACAGGCTGGCGGGACTGCCCTGTGTAATTCCGACACCTGATTCCGCCCTGCCGAGTTGCAGGAGGGAGGTATGGGTGGCAGGCAGGGACTGGAGATGGGTCTTAGGGCAGGAGGCTGGTGGCTGCTCCAACCTGGGAGGTGGGATCTGAGCCCCCACCCCAGCCTAGTCCCCAGGGCAGGGAGGAAGAGGACAGCCCCGTGTCCCCTACCCCTCTCACTCCTGGGCTTCAGGGAAGATGAGCCCGTGGAGTCAAAAGCTACAGAGAGGTCTAGGGAGATGAGAGGATGTCACCTCCTGGGACCTGGGGCCCTGGGCAATGGCTGGCAGGGTCTTCAATTATGGAAAGTTCGTGGCTGAGCATGTTCACAGGGTGGCTCCAAGCGAGAACTCAGGGCCCCGCCAGGGACTGCTGCACCCACCCTGGGCTGTGGCTGGCACCTCAGAAGTCACAGCTGTCCTTTGTCACACACAGAAACGTCAGGACAGATGGTGGGAGAGGAAAGGCAGCTCGAGGAGCCACTTTAGGAAACTGCCAACAGAGCCAGCTTAGGTTTCCAAACCTCTTCAGTCTGAGCCAGCTGCCAGCTCCCTGACTCACCAGCCAACCGTCCCCGGCTTTCACATCCCCTTGACCAGGGGGCTGCTCTGCCAAGCTGTGTGCTCACCACCACCCAACACACTCCTCCTGGGCTCTGCCCCCCCTCCAGTGGGGGTCTCGAGGAGGAGGGTGAGGGGGGCCCCTTCCCAAGGCCCTGCAGCCTCGGGCCCATGCCCTCTTAAGAGTAGGGTCCTTAAAACTTCCAAAGAGCAGTGCCATGTGAGTTAAATATGGACCGCACCCTTGATTAATCAACGTCAATCTGTCAAAATCAAATGATGAGGGAACAAAATAGGGGCTTAAAGAAGGTGAGTGAAAAGCAGGGAAGGAGAACCCACACATTCACCAGGGGGAGGATGGAACTAGCCAAGGGCCCGGAGAAGCAGAGGCAGTAGGTCTGTGGAAGGAGGGCTGTGTAGAGCTCTGGCCTTCCTCCGTGAACGAAGGGAGAAAGAGGCACCTGGAGCCAGGCCTGTGGTTGAGGTCCTTCCAGCTGTGAGAGGAAAGAGGCTGAAGGAGAGGCGTGGTGTGTGTGTACACTTGTGTGTCTGTGTGTGTGTGTGTGGCTGTGTGTGTGTGTGGCTGTGTGTCTGTGTATGTGTGTCTGTTCTGCTGGGGAAGGAAGACACTGATGGGGGAGGTGGGGGAGATGGGTAGTCTACCCGAGACCCGGCCCCAGAGGTCTTC